GTGAGTGTGTAAACGTTGTATTGACGGGAGCAAAATGTCAGCACGCGTCCGCTTCCAGCTATAGACTTTAAATACTACATGTGCATTGAGTCTGGCCCAGTGTATTGATGGCTCATAGGGCTTGGTGATTGTTTTCGGAGTGGACTTTCACGTCAGCATTAAAAATTTAGCGTTGGCTTCTCTCAGGTGGCACCATTTAACAACACGCCGTCCACCACGCACGTGCAAAACTGACACAAAAACAATAAGGGAGTGCAATACTGGGACATTACAGATAAACTGTAGGGGGAAAAAAAATCATTTTTATGATTCCTCTCCACAGAAATATGCAACCTCATCATACCACTTAACACTGGCACGATTTCCTCAACAGAAATGTTTGTGAAAGCATTGCTGAAATGCTTCCAACCGAAAAGATTTTTCACATTTTCAACAGGCTCTTTAGCCATGAGAAGGGAGTTTTGTGCACGCTTCGACAAGGATTTTTTTATGCCACCCAACAACTTCAATGTTGATTAATCCAGTAGGTCTGAGGTCAGTGAAACACCAGCAGTTGATGTCTTCCAGTCTGCTGGCCGGCTAATTGAAGTAAATAAGCTAAATATTGGCCAAACCGACCTGAACTGATGCTCTCATCAAGTCTGGCTTCAAGAGGAATAAATAATGGATTGTTTAAGTGATGCTTTCACATTAGACTATACATCACGTCGCCTTTCATATTGGTTCATTTTCCTCTAGACAGTGATTTGAGCTCTGTATTGGCCCCAAGGTATTCATCGTGGGGGGGGGGGTAATGTTGACTGTATTCAGCAGCTTCGTGTAGAGCCGGAGCTCCCTGAGCTGGTCCTCTCCTCACTTTTTCCAGCGTGACGGAAATGTCCCATTATACTTCATGAATGCATCAAACAATGGAGCGCCAGGCAAATCCCCTAATTTTCTTTGTGCGCCCTCTTTCCGCTGAGCGGGGCTTTAGCTGCCGCAGACATCGGGAGCCCGCGTTAGACAAGGAAACAGATGCCAAAAGGAGGGCGGAAAAAAAGAAAAGAAAGAAAAGACCGGTGCTGCAGAAACATCGACCGAGGAGGTTAGAAGACGAAAAGTAGGGAGACGCACAGTCCTTGAATTGGGATGGGAGAGGGGTG